CAATGTTTTTTCAAGTTTTATTTTGTTTAACCAGGTGAGAACTCAAGAGACCAGGATCGAGTCTCATTTGCCCGAGTTACCTGGGACATTCGTCTGCCAGTAGGGGGCAATGATTTCTACGTATAAATACGAATTGAGTAATTTGCGGTGTAATTTCAGAATTTGGCCAATTTGGACCCTGATGCCGGCACACAGTGGCCCACTCTTGCTAATGATGTCAGGGGATCTGTAATATCCACTGCGAAGCAGACGGCACATCTTATGGTTATTACTCCCACAGTATTAACCAGGGCAGCCGCTGAATTCGGAACCGCAAACCTCTGCAACAAGCAGCGAACGCGCTACCGCTGTGGCACGTCGCAAACGTTACTCATTGCAAACGCCTTGTGAAAGACTTAACACAGAAGATCCCTGGTTTTGATTTTCCATGAATTTTATGGTCCACCCAAAACCATATCTGCACAAACCATGGCAGATGCGGATACCTGATGCACAAATGGAAAGTGAAAAACTCTCCAGACTGCGGGGTTCACCATAATTCACCAGCCTGGCTCGTTAGGGATCAGGTAATGGGATGTGGAATGGGCCAGCGGGTATGGTTCCCGGAACCGATTCACAAATCACTCGCCACGACTTTTGCTGTGGCTGGGAGTCGAACTTGAGTTATAACGCAGCGCGACATTAACTGCACCACTGCTAATATCACTACTGAAATAGTATTTTTTTTAAATGTTATAATTCAGAAATATGTAGTATACAATATAATACCGGCTTTAAATTAGCATGCCCATTCCTATCCTCTACCCTAGATTTACTGTCTAGCTACTGGGTAAATAAGTATCTGATTATGTAATAATAACGTTATAGTTTTCAGCACGCACATGAATTGTGAAATACATCCTCTGAATGTTAGTGCTGTTTATCCTGGAGACTGGATGTTCAAAGTGGTGATTTTTCTGTAACTCTGCATGCGGTAATGATTTCAGCAATTTAGGCAACGGCAAGGGAAAATCACGGGTTCTTCACATTCACTATCTAATTAAAAAGCGTACGCACAACCCAATACTCATCCACTTAGTAGTGATGGGTAGAGATATCAGCGATTGGCCTTTTACAGCCACTGTATTTATGATAATAGGTACCGACTTATTTACAGATTCCATATGCTCTCAACATTCAGTTTTTTAGCCTTTATTGTGTTTTTACCTTGTTCTGCAATGCCGGTCTTAACGGGTGCTCACGAACAGCCCTTGTAGGTGCTAGTGTACGCGTATGTCTGTGTAAGTGAGAAGCGGTAACGTAGCGGTTAGCGCGCTGCGCTACGAACTCGATTCCCGCTCATGGCCAACATCAGCGACGATTATTTGAACCGGTCCTGAACATCCCCTAGGTCGACTCAGCCTCAAATAAGTAATTTGTGCAGTGTGTAAACATCGCCACTCGGCAGACAAAGGCGGCCGGGCGTGGTGATGGCCACCCACCCCCTCGTGTGCCATTCTGGCCTTCTATGGTGCTCACTAACAGCACTTGCCCCAACAGTCTGTTACAGGCTATAGGGGGATCTTTATCTTTGTTTGTACTCCAAGTGTGCATAGGTACAGGGCGCGATCTGTAGAGGTCAGCAGCCGAAGCGATGTCTCCTCACTTTAATCACAGGAAATACCTGGGTGATCAATTGATTAATCAGCCAAGCGATCGATTGCTTAATCACGGCTAATTGAAAGCTCAATGCAATTTTAAACACAATTATACAGGAATGCTCACATACGTAGGGTTGGGTTTTTTGTTGTTGCTGCTGCTACTGCTGTTGTTGTGAGACGCTAACAGCTTCTTACCGTGGGTGCGCCCGAAACGAGAGCTGGGTGAAGCGAGGGCTGGGTGAAGCGAGGGCTGGGTGAAGCGAGAGCTGGGTGAAACGAGGGCTCGGTGAAACGAGGGCTGGGTGAAGCGAGGGCTGGGTGAAGCGAGAGCTGGGTGAAGCGAGGGCTCGGTGAAACGAGAGCTGGGTGAAACGAGGGCTCGGTGAAACGAGGGCGCACGGACGCGCGCGGTGTGAATTGTCATCGTCTGGTGGGTGCGGCAGGTCTCGCCGCCCAGCACGGAGGCAGTTCGCGCACAGCCAACCCAGTAGCACCCCCCCCCCTCCCACCCACCACGGAAAATACTGCAGAGACAATAATACAATGCAGCCCGCCCCAAAGTGAACATTAAGGATCTTTATAACACCGGCTGTAACTGTTCCAGCCCGGGGTGGTGCTGGGTTTAGAGCAATCAGAAGGTTGCGAGTTGAAATTATGGTCAGAGGTCAACTGAGAGCCCCATTATCTGTGGGTAGTCAAGTGTAGCGACCGGGCTATTTGTATTCATTTTGTATGAGTACGTTTTTTGGTTTATTTATTTATGTCCAGCGGCTGGACTTGAAATCTCTCCGCAGCACAGCGTCTAAGCAGTCCCGTGGGAGAGTCTTATTCTGGCAGGATGACACCAGCCTCGTGCACAATCACTTCATTTACCTGACCTTTTACGGTATTTTTTTTTATTAGGCCGTGGAAACAATGCGCCAAGGCGGACATATAATGCATTTATTTTACCCTCCCTCGGGAGCCCTGCGCTTACCGGAACGCTGTATTTTTTTCAGGTCGACATGATGATGGGACGTTGTCACATCAGCAATTTGGTTATCTCAGCTGTAGTTCCCACGGGATATCGTAGCAATGGCGCGGCACAAAGTTGCTCTATTGGCAGACGAGAGCAGCCGATGATGACTGAACAGGCAAACAAGCTGTGCAAAGTCCACTCGTTAGTGAGCCTCACGCGTTTGGTCATGGAGTCAAAGTAATTGGGTTATCTCAGGTCTAATTTGGCACAAATGCGGTGCTCAGTTGCCGCATTGTCAGATACTGTCATGGGAGCAAATTACTGAATAGGCAAACAAGCTGGGCAAGTCTGTCCAGTAAGTGAGCTTAATATACCATTGGTTATAGTGTAATAAAAAAAAAACGTTACCCAACAATGATGATATATTAATTTAGTTCAAGTAAAGTTGATTTTATAAATAAAAATATTAAAATTACTTGTTCTGCATTCATTCTGAAATGTTTAATTGCCTCTCCATAAATCAGCACGTCACTATCCTGAGATGTTATGGCATTTAGTGTGTGTGTGTGTGTGGAATCGGACATGCCCAGAGAAAAGGAACTTGTGGGCATATGCACCGACTGCACAGACAGATTGGCTACCTACTTCCCGTGCTGCCTCCAGCAAGGAACTTTCATTGTCACGCACGAGGCCGTGTGTGCGAGATCCACAAACCCCTGTTTTCCAGCCCACTATATTACGAGCACGTGCCAGTACTGTGCACCTGTCCACAGATAATAGACCGATATGATGTCACCGAATACCTTATAAAGTAACGCAACGCAGTCAGAAGTTAAATCTATGGAAGCAAACGTTTCCAGAATTGAAATGGGTCGCCTACCGCTGCATTCCCTTCATTAAAATGTTCACGGGTTTTGCGTTTTAATCGGTGGCGTGTTGATCTCTGGGCCGTGAGGTGGCCACAAAACGGCAGTGCGGCAGAAATTTGGGTTTTATGAACCCATCGGTGTGGACCTTGTGAATGCAACGCCCTCTGCTTATTCCGGTTTCATCAAGCAAACTGCTCTCGATAACTCGTTGACTAAACTTCCCAATGCAGCACCCGACTGGATATGCATTCTGTTTTTAGCTCAAATTTACCATTTGTTGGACAGAGACAATAGCTTCTCTTTGTATACAATCACAAAACGTTCCCCCCTCCCCAAAAAATATCTAATTACCTACTCTAGGAGCCCGCCCGTCGTGTATTACAAATTGTAATATCTTAATTGGATTAGATTTCATTTGGGAAAAAAGTGTTATGTTGTAAACAGGAGGAAATAAGTGTTTGTCAGATGCACACATACACACTTACCAACGTCAAATAAAAAGGTGTTTTCTTGCATGGCAAGGGTCGCACGTGTTTACATTAAAAAAAGAATGGGTCGATCTGAAATGTGAAAACGGTTCCACGTATGAAATGTAAATATTTGGTTCATAGGGTTCCCCGAGGCAAAAGCGTGTCCATTGCACAAACGTCCATTAAACGTGAGCTTCGTTCTGTTCATACATTGTCAGGAACCAGTGGGCAGTGTTACTGGTTAGTTGCTGAAAGGAGTTAATCACTTTCGCTCCCTCTCATGGAAATCTCCCTAAATCACAAGTCAATATTCGTGCAATTATATGGCTGGATATCATTGTGATTCAAGTGCTTGACCCACAATCAAAAGATTTCGATGGTAAATTTCGTTTGGGGGCTCGACAGTGATTTAGTTCATATCTTTTTCAGAAGTCCACAGTTGTCATGATACAGAGGCACTGATCCCGCCTTGGGAGTGTGGAATTTCCAAAACTGACTCAAAGTTGCCAATAGAGATGAAACGCTGTCCGATCGCTCGTGAAAACAGGCGGATCCTTTTTTTTTTACTTCTTTCAGTCCTGACGTTTTCATGAGAATTTACCTTTTGGTGAGATAAACCGTGGGCTCTACCACATGACAGTTGACACCACCTGGCTGAAAGATGTCTGCACATGTTCAAATATCAGGAATTTTTTTTATATACTTACACCACCGAGCACTTTGTGATGCACCTTCGTGATAACATTTCGTATGCGTAAATAGTACTGACGTCACGATAACGAATAGACTGCACGTATCAGATGTGAATTTAGCACGTAGGCTTTCACAATTCTGGCAAATTTCCTGATGAAGCTGGTTGTAATCACCAGCGAAACATCATACTCAATTGTAAATAGTGTAGGTTAACTCTCCATCACACCGATGTGCTAAAGTAATTGCTCGTTAGCACGCCTTGTTCGCGTAACAAACTTTACTAATTGTTTGTGTCGGGTGGTGGTGGATTAACAACACTTTTACATTCACGTGATCTAACCCTATGAATCATATGTGACGTTGTGCGCAGGATGCAAAGTACGTGCTGGTGATGGTTGATCCCGATGCTCCCAGCCACACCAATCCAATCTGGAAGTACTGGAGACACTGGCTTGTGTCCAACATCAAGGTAAGTGCTTGGCAAGTCACTTACATCTCTGTCCGTGTTTTAACAGTCGTCTGGCTGCAGTGAGCCTTGCCTTCTTTGCCACATCATGCCTTTCAAATCACAGGTGACTTTCAGTATGTCTGGTGAGAAATGTCGATGTGTTCCTTAGGCCTTCTCCATCACCGACAGCTTCTACACAGCGAGAGTCTTGTGGTCTACAAAGTGTTTGTTTTCTTCTTTGGTTCTTTCGGTAAAGTCACCACGTAGAATGAGAATAAAATAATAAATTGATAAAATAAAATAACACAATAATATTCTCAAGACGTTTCGGCCACAACACAAGCGGCCTTCATCAGGTGAAGGGACGAGACTGTCTGGAGGACAGCCGCTTGTGTTGTGGCCGAAACGTCGTGAGAATATTATTGTGTTATTTTATTTTATCAATTTATTATTTTATTCTCATTCTACGTGACTTTACCGAAAGAACCAAAGAAGATGAATCCTTTCAGTCACGAAAGCTTTAAATCGAAAAGTGTTTGTTGTGATAATGATGATATACGGCTTCTGTGTAAAGCTATATTGACCGTTATGTACAGAAGGTGGTTTGATGGCGTATCTCCATGGTGTATTCTTATAAACTACTTTGAAACGTAAGCGCATATTTCACCAAGCAGATGAGGTGGCGGTAGGTAGTAATGTATGTTAATATATGTGTGTTTATATGCAAGTACATGCCCTGTGTATGTGCAAAATTGTTTTAATTAAAGTCTTCTCGGGTGACATTTCAATGCACATGGCAGAAAAAGGTCACTTCATGATAGTTAACTTCGCAGAATATTTGACGTGGCATTATAATATTAATAACGTGATCGTAAAAAGTTAATAAGAAGGATGTTTTGACATGGCAATGCCTCTGACAGCTTGTATAATGTGCTATAATTATGCTTGTAGGCGTCAAATACAGTACCACACATCAAATGCAATTCAAGCACTCTGCAGTTTGTGGACATTTTACTTCGGATATACTCAAGACAGACTGAAGGACTTGGAGATTCCAACTCTGCAAGTCTCATTTTTTCCTTTTAGATTCCTCTTGAGTATGTCCTCTAATTTCGATATTTTTACGTGCCTTGATTTTAGGGGTGGAGTACTACCTTTGTTTAATTTATAATCTAAAGTATTATGATACACTCGTTAGTGGGGGCGAGTTCTTATTTAACAAATAAGTTGAATGAATGAGTATGTGGAAATATATTAAATTTGCTCCCGCCATAGCAATGTGGAATTTCCACCACTCGCTCAGAGCCACAGAATGAGATGAGCACCTGCCTATGCCCGTTTGAGCAGAGAAACACTGCGACCAATATCATAATAGTGGTTTTTGGGGTGAGATCGCATAAATATTAATGTGTCATTAAAACCGCCACCAACCAACACAACCAATTAGTCAGGTTATTGCCATGTTCTGTTTACGTGTCGGGTGGTGGTGGGTTTAACGACACATTTATATTTACTCGATCTAACCCAAAAACCTCTAAAATTACCGTATGGACTCGTGAAATTAATTAAAATAGATGTGTTGGCTAGTGTGGGTGTGCGTATTGTCCCTTGTACACGTGCAGCCCTTTGTCACTCCACTGCCGGACGATGGCCGACCCAAGCTGCGGGGGATTATTTGGCCATATGTCGCCACGCTGGTGACTGTGGTCTGGTGAAGGTGGGAAGCGTAGACACGGGGTCATAGAAGTACACTGCAATAATGACACCCTTGTATCCACATCCGCCCATCGTGAATACAGGTTTTGATAAAGGGTTGTGCGAGGTACTCGCATATTCATTGTCATTCTCACGTGTAAGCACAAGTACAAGCGTTACTTTTTTGGGCTATAATTATGGAGCCCAACTTTCAGTGTTTAACTAAAGTCTGCTGTTGCTTATATGTTCGGCAGATTTTGATGATCAATAGCTTAATTGAAAGAGCTCTGTTATGTTTAAAAGTGCAAGGTTCTTCTGTGTGAGATTACACTTCTTGATTGCTCTTGATGCTTAAAAATAGGTTGGCACATTTGTAGAACACTCTAGTGAGATTCGCACAAAACTGTTCACAGCGAATAATTGTTGCTAGATCCTATCTGTACTTTTATATGTATTTTTTAATGCAGCAGCGGCATGTCTAATCCATTGCTTAATTGTCGTGACAACATTTCAGCACATATAAATTCTCTGACAGATGATCACACAGATTCGTGGAAAGCTACACACATAGCAGCTGTGCCAGATGCCTGATGTCCATAACATCACCACCACATAAAAAACAACGTACATTTTTGTTCAGAACGATGCCAAGTTGCTGTGATTGGACCTGCAAAACAAAATGCATCTCCACACAAAGCACGATGAAGGTTCAACGTTTGATGCCTTCTGCTGTGACAAAAGATTGAACTTGTCCACCGAATCTAAATGCTACAGCCATCGGGATTCGCCAAAACAGTTAGCCATTATATACAACGTGCAATTTAGCCAATGCCACTTTCTCATAGCCGACATCATTGCCAAAGTTTATATCCCTTAGCTTTCCAAACAGATTGTCCACCTCAAGGTCATGAGGCCTTGGTCATGCTCTCGGCTAATGGCGATGCTGATTAATCATTTGTACACAACACAACTTTCCACATTGAAAAGGTTATTGGGCATCCGCCTCTCACTATTTGTTAAACAGTCAGTATTCCCATTAAGCTCAATTGGCACAATGACACCATAGATCTATTTTCACTGGCTGTCATATTGTTTCAAAACACGGTAGAAATGCAGAGCATGTAAATGTTGTTCCACTATTCAGCGAAGCGTTATTATCTTAATTAACATGCAGCAATCGGGTAGGGCAATTGCATGATGATCCTGAACATTTTAATGGATATTGATTAATAAACAAACACACATCAGTAATTATATAATTTTACTGGGGGTGCTCTGGTTAAAGCGCTCCACTCTTGATCGCATATGAAAGGGTTGTTATTTATGATTTCCTCATGTTTTTTTTCCAAAAAAGTAACAACATCAGGCCTCAATACAAAGCTCGAATGAATCGAATTGTGTGTTTTTAAGGTTAATTTTAACACGTAAAGTGACATCACCAATATGATATAACTTCCACTCTTGTCCCACCAAAAATGGTATCACATGGCATCGGGTGGTGTCACTACTCTTTGAACACAATGGAAACCATCCGAAATTCTTAAATAGATCTGAAATTGTTCTTAAAAATTCTCAATGCCACATGTTTGAAGGCAAAATTTATCCACAGCTACAATTGCTAGCCGTGCCATGGTGGCAATGCAACGGGGCCTGTAATCAAGCACCGTGGAGGCAGCGAGGAGCTGCAATACCGTGGCTCACCAGCAGAAAGGAGTACAGCAAGTTGACCAATCGCCATCTGTTGCCATCATGTTGATTCCATCTGTACAAGGATAGTGTTGCCTCCATTGCACACAAACGGGCTTTCACCGGGTGCTCTGGTTTCCTCCGGCTGATAAAAAGTGAACGCAATTAGGCAGAACCCTCCTGAAAAAGAGTGCTACTGCTTAGTGTGGCTTTCTTGGGTAGATCAATAAGTAAATACGTTCAAATTTCTGCTGTGGGTCGACTCAGTCTATCATTCTTCACTGATCAGTACATTGACTACCACTTCATGAGAAGTCACTGGTAGTAGTTTTATATGGGGATGAGCTGTCATAGGAATTTTGGAATGATCTCCAATGGCTCAAGGCCCTCAATCTGAATGAGCATTTGTCCATGTTCGTGTGAGCAGAGAAGTTATTTGACTTAATAGTGTATATATAAATATTTTTTAAACATAAACATTTTGCACTGGTTTGAGAGACAATGTGAACTCCCCATATACAAGTTACATAACATCAAGGGAGGATTTTTGTTTTGCCACAGGATCTCGTGAAGTTTGTGAGATGAAAACAATATTTTTAGATATCATGAAAAAAGGGCATTGCCCAATACGTCACCTATTTTATATACGTATTTATTTCCATTTTAAGGTAGTGTGTTGGACAAAACAACACTAATTCGGATCATACAAAATTTAGCATCTAGGGCCTGCTGTTCTGATTTTTCAGATTAATCTGTTAACTGGAAGCATGAACCCAGTATTTTGGTGTTTTGTTTAAACCACAAATAGTCTTGTGAGTAGAGAGATTGTCAGAAATCCCACCATGCAAATCTAAATACAAACTTCCTTTCCATCCTTTCATTCTGAGCAGGGGCGGAGCCAGGATTTCAGGCCGGGGTGACATTCAACAAATTTTAATTTCAAGAATGATTAGAGAGTCAGGCTGTTGAACTAGACGCCATCGGTTGGCGACACACTCTGACAATGCAGTTGTACGGAGTCCGCCAGACCGAGTGTCGTACACTTATACGCAGAATGTCACTCCTGTCACCCCCCCCCGGCTCCGCCCCTGATTCTGAGCCATGGGAAGGCTTTCTTGAAACTCTTTAACGTATGTAACCTCACTATTGAGCCTAGCAGAAAAAAGAAAAAAACCTTGCCAAAGCATTCCTTTTATCAAGCAGAGTGTTTCAAAAGGCCAAGCGATACGTAATTTGGTTAGCGGATGAATTATTGATGTTGCCGTTGAAAGTCTGTCATTGAAAAAGTCATCATTTATAGCGTGTGACTTTACTTTTTGATGCCTGAAAGAGTTTGAACTAATTCTCCGCTCTAAGGCAGACCACGTACCTTTTGATAATGATTTGGAAGATAAGCCACTGACTGCATCTCGGATACCCTGCCTGAGAGCTCACAGTCTTCGCTGTAGTCATTTTTGTGTGAAATCTAGTATGAAGGCTTAAACACTTGGTCGTTTGTTTACTGAATGGCCCTGGCTTCGTTTGTTTGTTTTTGATGAGGGACAGTTAGGTGGCCAAGCGTTCATGCTTTCACCGCTGGTTGCAGAGATTCGCGGTTCAAATCCAGCGGCTGCTCTGGTTATCGCCGAGGGTGAATGAACTGTAAAAATACTCCATGCCGTCTGCTTCACGGGTGGATGATGAATATCTCCTGCATCATTCGCAAGAGTCGGCCAATGTTTGCCGGCCATCATGGTCAAAACTTGAAAAATGCCCCACAACGTAGTGAAGCGAGATTACTGTGTGCATAGCAACCATCGCGCCCTGCTGTTAAACCACTGCAGACTACATCTGTGGAATACTGCATCTTCGTGACAGCCCTGTGCTCGAAGAATGGCACGAATACCCAGTGTACTAAGTTTAATTATTAGCATGCCAAACAATGTCAATGGACTACAGTAAGTGTTTGATGGCCGTAATAAAGTAGGCTGCAAAGTTGGGCTCAAGATGAATATGAGACAAAACAGGGACATGCAACACGTTCACTGAACATCTGAAGATGTCTGTGGGAGAGACACAACTGGGAAACACAAGGGAGTGTGTGTATCTCAGGCATTTAGTGAAAAATGTAGAATCGAGATCAAAGTGATGAAATAATGGGTGGGCAGGAGCTGGTTGGAGCACTTTTTGGAAAAACTCAACTTAATAATCAAAGACAACAAGCCAATGTGCCAAAAGGAGAGAGTGCTTCATCATTGTATTATTACCTGCTTTGGCACGTGGATCAGAACTGCTGTCACCGACAAAGAAAATGCAACAAACGATGAAAGTGCCAAAAAAGAAACGTGTGGTGGAAATCCCATTTAGAGACACAAGGAGAAACAACATGGGTCACAGAACATATTAACTTTAAGAAAAGTACGTAGGCTTGGGCAAGACATGTAGCCAAAAGGGATGATGGATGGTGATGTTATGTTATGCAAAAACACATTAAGGCAAAATAATTAGCCATTTGTTTATTAAATCATTAATATACAGTTGCTTTATTCACATACAAATAATAATGTCATTAATTTTCTCATGAAATCCTCGCTGAGTCTCAGGATCGTACGTTGAACTTCTTTCGCACTGTATGTAGCCAACCATGCTAATCGGAGGGTTGGCCTGTACCAGGGTATTTCCCCGTTTCTTTACTGAGCATGTTTGCACGTGTGGAAGGCAAATTAAGAGAAAAGCCATACACGTGGCAACGCTCAAATAATGCACAGAGAGGTCAGAACCCACTTGCTGTACTGCCCCTATCCTGACTACCCTCAAAGCTCAGCAAGTTGGAAGTCTCATAGCCCGTGATGGTCTCCGTGTGATCCGCCAATCTTGCCCCCAACAAGCGCTCACCAACGCTTTTGAAAGTTGAGCCGTCCAGTCTGTAGACCCCTGTGCTCAGCGTCAATGAATGCCACTCAACGGCGCGTGTTTCACGTGCCCCGTTGAGTGGCAAGTGGTGCTGTGGTGGCGAGATGTTATCTCCCTCGCCTGCCATCGCGTGGGTTCAATCCCACGACCCTGACGATGCTGAGATATTTGGCGTTCGTGTGTTCTCTGTCTCTCCTCGGAGTCCCGTGGATTTTTTTCTGGGTTCTCCAGTTTTGCCCTCCACATTTAGAAACATGCGTTCAGATTATTTGGCTGCTACTGTAAATTCCCACGTATGATATTCACAACTTCGGTGAGCGATCATGTGTGGCCAGGTCGCCTCTGAAAAAGAGCGAATAGCTCAGCAGGCTTCATCTGGTAAATACATTAGTTTAATTTTAGTTTAACATTGCACATGCAAATTTCCACATGTCAATCTTGGACAATGGTGAAAATTAGGTTTCGAAGTTTATCTGATAATAACTATATGAAGGACTGCTGTATTTATTTTTCATTGTTTCACGGCGCCCTTCAGCCAGTGGCGTCAACAAGTGCGTCGTCACAACGACCGATTGTGAAAAAAGAGCTTCATAGCTCATCGGATTTTTCCAGGATAAATAAAGATTCTGACTGATCGTCACGTGCCCACCGGGTGGTGCAGCTGTCCATGGCACGGTGCTGCGCGATGGGCCACATGCCCGCAGTAATTTTCGAGCTTCAGTTTCCGATTCGCGTCGTTAGCGTGGAGAGCCGTAATTAAAAAGCGGAGTTTAATTTCACAGGCCCGGTCATATGCGCGGTCTTTGTGGCTGCAGTGTGCATTTGGAGGACATAATAACCGCTCTCACGTGCGGTTATTAATTTCTAGACAAAATACTCGCACAGGTGTCACGTTCGTAAACATCTTCACGCCTTTCTTTCTCCATCTCTCTCGCTGTATTTTTCTCTCTTCTCTTTTATTTTTCTTTGCTTGGCCTCTCTTTCCTGCCTTAGATTCCCTTCTTGATGTCGGTCACCGGCGATCCTTTGTACCCTGGTTCTGTCTTTCTATATTTGCCGTTGTTGAAAATATAAACAAAATAAAGTCAATGAAGTAATCTTTCGGTGTCCGTATGACGTAATAAATTGTGTGTCCATCTGCTCAAACCAGAGGATCAATTATTATGTACCCATTCACATAGTCCTGAAGCAGTGGTGGACATTCAACGTTTCTCTGGCGGGGACCAGTCTATTCGTAGGACAACTCGGGTTGCTATGAAGAAGGGGCATTTCCCATTAACGTTGCCTGTTGCATACGTTTCGTTGTAAGGCAGTGTTATTGGCGAGCGTCTTGATGATTTTTGTTGATTGTGTTTGTGCAGCACCACCGCCAACGCAGTAGCATCGCCAAATCATTTGTGAAACCATGAAAGGCATGGTGAAGACAAGGCGTGATATCAACATGGACATGGACAATTTAGATCCCAGCCAACCATGCCAGCAAAAACTGGATTCAGAAAAGATGTTTTCTATCAGACTGATAAAGCACCCATATTATAGAAATGCAACACAAACTCCGCTGTATAATTTCACGACATACAAATCATGCATTCATAATCGATCATTGCCAATTACCCATGCACATCCCCATTGAGATGCATTATCTCCTCTCCCAAGGAAGAAGGCCTTGTTAATTATTTGAAAGGTTTTTTTTTTCACAGGTCATTTTACGAGGTTGGATTGTGGGAGCGATGTCGCAACGTTGGGCTGCTCAGCACACCACAGCTCCCCGATTGTTTCCCTGATTAATCCCCCCCCGCGCCACTCTCGGCTATAACATTTACACGCACTGGCTGCATGTCAGCAGGCACTGAGCAACTCTGCTCTGCAACCGAACGGATATTACGCACAACTCAATAGCAGAGACCCAACGCAATCTTTAAACAAATTACCACGCGGTGGTGGGGTGGTGGGACGGTGGGACGGGGGAATGGAAAGTTTGTTGTTCGACAAAACCACATTAACACCAAGCCAGTAATAGTTTTGGGATCTCGTAAACAGCTCAGTGGCCGATGATTAATGGCGTTGCATTGGCAATGCAAGAGGGAGTTTCATGATGGGTTTTCTGCCAGCCACTTGGTAATTTTCCAACCGCGTGTCGTCTCTGTTTGGGGGAAACCCTTTTTTTTTTTTGGGCAATGACCCTGGCTCTCCTGACCAGAAAGTAGGGAGACGGGCCAAGGGCGTGCTCGGCGAGCATCAAATCACCACGGCGGCAGCCTTCACAAATCTCATTCACCGCCCGATCTCAGTTGCCCCACGTGCCAACCTCAACACGGGGGGCTGCTCGCCACCCCCCCCCCCCCCCCCCCCGATTGATGCCCCCTCGTGCCTTTTGTCTTGCTCGCAGAATGCCACTTACCTTGCACAGACACTTTTCGATATCGGGGTGAGGGAGGGGGTGGGAAATACACTTTCAGCTTGGACTATGATTCACTCATTATTTTTGTTTAGCCGCAAGTCGTAAGGCAGCAGTGAATGCTGATTATGATGCGTCTCGTGTTTTTTTTTTTTGAAGTTTTATCTCCCTGTGGAATTGTTTTGTGATACAGCGTCTCTCGCAAATTCGTTTGCACTGGCGTGTTTTTCTTGTCCGTGAAAATATCGCGACGTCAACTTTGGCTTCACGTAGAGTTATTTAGTTACATGTAAGTGGCTTACTTTCAAAAGATCCCTTAACAATCATTCACAATTTATACGTCAGTAACGTCAGGCAGTGGCTTCTTACATGAATCAGCGGTGTAAATTCCACATTCCCATGGTGAGGGAAATATTTCCATCGCACACTAACTGTTGACTTCCCACGAATTATTAATTATCTGAGGGTTGTTTGTTGGACTGCTTTAATTGCCAACTGGAATTGGAACTTGCAACTTTCCGACCGTGACTCAAGCAATCTCACCTCGGCGTAATCTACTGACATTGTGAGGTGTCATGATGGCATGTCTCATGATATTGACGGTGAGGAATTCGTTTATATGAAGAGAGAGAGAGATTATTTATTTCAGCAGGAACGTCCCAATTAGCTGTTCGGCAATGTTTCATGTGCGTCCTGCGACGGTACAGATGTTACTACGCGGTACAGATCTTAGTTACAATCATGGTTGCATAGGTTGCAATACAAACAGCAAGTATCGGTTTCTGCTTTAGACGTCATGGGCGGAGGGAACCGGGCGAAACACATTTTTAAAAATACCAATTGCAAAGTTGAAATATATGATAATTTGAGTTGTTTAAAAACATTTAGTGACCAAAAAAAATCGGTGACCTTGTCTAAAACATAACAGAAATAAATGGTTCATCTTCTTTGGTTCTTTCGGTAAAGTCCAGACAGTCTCGTCCCTTCACCTGATGAAGGCTGCTTGTGTTGTGGCCGAAACGTCGTGAGAATTTTATTGTGTTATTTTATTTTATCAATTTATTATTTTATTCTCATTCTACGTGACTTTACCGAAAGAACCAAAGAAGATGAATCCTTGCAGTCACGAAAGCTTTAAATCGAAAAATAAATGGTTGTTTACATTTTCTTTGGTACGCTTGAATTTAAACTTTGCACTACTGATTCAACTCCTGTATCGAGAGATTGACCCTTGACCTCTGGATTGCAAATGCAGTGTTGATAACCATGACATGTTGCTAACCATGACATGTTGCTAACCATGACACCGCGGCTGCATCCACCAACACCCATGAGTGTTAATTGTGATTATGACAATGAAAAGCATTACTTTTTGCTTGTACATTTACATTTGTTGTATTGTAAAACACCCATGCAGTTAAAGTATTTAAATCGTTTATTTAATTGCGTTGTGTCCATTATAACCAACATTTACCTTTCTGGAATAGAGCTACGTGCTTGTTAATAAATAGCAGTGGCGAAATGTTAACTACCTCGCCTGGTATACAGGAGGTCGTGGGGTCGATCTCGACCCTGACGCCTGCTGTATATTTCTCACCGTGGTTGCGTACATTTTCCGCTGGGTCCTCCGGTTTTCCCCTCCACATTCAGAATCGACATTCAAGTATTTGGCTGCTATGAATTTCCACGTGATAAGCCACTTCCTTGAGCTATCATTCGTGATAGACAGGTCGCTTTTGAAAAAGAGCTTTGTAGCTCAGCAGGCCTTAGCTGGTAAAATAAAATATCGTTTAGTAGTTTCGTTTATCTGCAAAGGAGAGCTTGTAAATCAATGGTAGATCTATTATATATGCGTGTGTACATTGAAATATACTCTCTGTGAAGGTAAACAGCCTGCAGCAAAATATTACAATAATGGCAAAGATGTCGGTGTGTTTAATTTCCAATAATATCCCATTGTAAGAACATATGGTGCGCATGGCTGAGAGGAAAACAATAAAATGCAGAACCATTCACGGTGCTATGTTCTCCATTGTCAACGATGGTGCATTCTCTTTCCGAGACCCAAACAACACGCGCACGCTTCTTCAACGATGTGTCGCGCTGGAGATTGACGCAACATTATTTTGGGAAATATAATTAACTATGCGGAGAAGTGAGCATCAACAGAGCATTCCCCAGGACCCCACACTACAGCATGGGTGTTACAGTGTATCCGCATCTTCATTTAGGAAGTTAATTAAAGCATTTTATCCCCCCCCCCCCTCTACCCCCAACCACGCCACCTATCAAAAAGAAGATAAAAAATATATATTTTGCCAATATAATATCACTAATGGGGCATACTACAAAGCGTTTCTGGAAATGTTTTCATACCCCTGTGTTGTTATTCCCCACGATTTGAAATGCTGCATTGTTAAATGCTTTTAAGAACCTCATGGCATATAATTGAAATAGCTGCTTGTTTACTGTTAATAATGGAACTGCCCGCTCAAACGAGAGTGGGGTTAGTGCTTACAGTGAGGGGAAAAAAGTATTTTATCCCCTGCTGATTTTGTACGTTTGCCCACTGATAAAGAAATGAGCAGTCTATAATTTTAATAGTAGGTTTATATGAACAGTGAGAGACAGAATAACAACAACAAAAATCCAGAAAAACGCATGTCAAAAATGTTAGAAATTGATTTGCATTTTAATGAGGGAAATACGTATTTGACCCCTCTGCAAAACATGACTTAGTTCTTGGTGGCAAAACCCTTGTTGGGAATCACAGAGGTCAGACGTTTCTTGTAGTCTTGTAGTTGGCCACCAGGTTTGCACACATCTCAGGAGGGATTTTGTCCCACTCCTCTTTGCAGATCTTCTCCAAGTCATTAAGGTTTCGAGGCTGAAGTGGAAGTATGGTGGTCAGATGAGACCAAAATGGAGCTCTTTGGGATCAACTCAACTCGCCGTGTTTGGAGGAGGAGGAATTCTGCCTATGACCCCAAGAACACCATCCCCACCGTCAAACATGGAGGTGGAAACATTATGCATTTGGGGTGTTTTTCTGCGAAGGGGACAGGACAACTTCACCGCATCAAAGGGACGATGGACGGGGCCATGTACCGTCAAATCTTGGGTGAGAACCTCCTTCCCTCAGCCAGGGCATTGAAAATGGGTCGTGGATGGGTATTCCAGCATGACAATGACCCAAAACACACGGCCAAGGCAACAAAGGAGTGGCTCAAGAAGAAGCACATTAAGGTCCTGGAGTGGCCTAGCCAGTCTCCAGACCTTAATCCCATAGAAAATCTGTGGAGGGAGCTGAAGGTTGGAGTTGCCAAACGTCAGCCTCGAAACCTTAATGACTTGGAGAAGATCTGCAAAGAGGAGTGGGACAAAATCCCTCCTGAGATTTGTGCAAAACTGGTGGCCAACTACAAGAAACGTCTGACCTCTGTGATTGCCAACAAGGGTTTTGCCACCAAGTACTAAGTCATGTTTTGCAGAGGGGTCAAATACTTATTTCCCTTATTAAAATGCAAATCAATGTATAACATTTTAGACATGCGTTTTTCTGGATTTTTTTGTTGTTATTCTGTCTCTCACTGTTCAAATAAACCTACCATTAAAATTATAGACTGATCATTTCTTTGTCAGTGGACAAACGTACAAAATCAGCAGGGGATCAAATACTTTTTTCCCTCACTGTATCTCCATTTGCTGCCCAAAACTAGCGGTCAATTCCACGTTCCCACAGTGAAGGCCAGTCAGTCTCTCTTATCTTTTGGAAGTATTTAATCATCTTCAGCCATGATAAATCTGCTGCTAGTTGAATTCCCCCCCCCCCCCAAACCGTTGCCATCTCTCACGATCCTAAGATGTAATATTCGCCCGAGTGCATGAATGCCTTTCCGATATTATGAAGCCACTGGAGCTATGCACTTTTAAATCCATATTTAAAAGAAGTAATATTTAAAAAAAAATTTTAAAACACACTTTAATGAAATGTACTGTACTCGTAATGGCAGAACTCCACGACTCCAGGAAGTGGCCACAAAGCTTGCCACAACGTAAGGGGACCGTGGTCATTTACAGCCAACGTCAGTTGAGCGTGGACAATTAGACCCAAGCCGAAACATAACATAAAAAAATAATGTTTAAAAATATGTTTTTATTTTTTAATGATAGAATATAGTATTGTCATCAGTGACATAAGTATACCAAGTTTGCAGTCGATACCACATTGGGAAGTGGGTTACAATTTAGTTACAAGATTTGAGGATACAACATTTTTTAGAACTGCTTTTTGTGTTTAGTTTATTGTCCTTCCCCCTCATACCTCCAATCAGCATGGTTGGCTATGTACGGTGGGAAAGAAGTTCAACATACACGAGATTAATTCATCCGCTCAATCTCCTGTCGGATGCGTTCCATTCCTTGGATGCCGTTCCGTCATTATTCTTGACCATCGTCCATCATCCCTTCTAGCTGGGCACATTTACATTTCTTAACAGTTTGGATAATC